TTTAGTAAATTTTGTAAATATTCAAACGAGTAAGAAGAGAGAAGGCCTGATTGCACACCCAGCAGTCATAGACCATCCCACGAGCCCCTTTGAGGCGGGGCAGATGGCAGACGAGCCTAGCTCTTCTCCCTACGAGCCCCGTGAGGGCGGGGAATGGGGCAAGCCGGGGGACACTTGTCCCAAAGATGAGGAGGTACTTGTACCTCCCCCCATGGGAGACTTATGTCTCGAGACACTCCCCAGATAGGGACCCAAAAGGCCGGGTCACCACTACTTGGAAAAGACCCGGGCCGGGAGAATACCGGCGAAGAAAAAAAAAATCTAACGATACACACAGAATATAATGTTAATAACTAACCATAAGTTTTAAAAAGGGGTGGACGGGTAGCCAGCGGAAGGCTTCGTCAGATGACCAAACGACAGATGACCAAACGGCGGGTCATCATCTTGACTAAGACCTGCGTCAGGAAATACTTGTCCTGTTTCCTGATGAACCTTACCTACCTAACCTCTAACGAGTAAATTTATCATAATAACATCCGAGTTTATAGCCCGGTGTGGACATCCAAGTTTTCTACTGTCAGTCTTCTCCATGTACTCCCATGGTTTCTTTAGTTTTTAATAGGGTGTACCAGTAAACCAGTGGAAGTCCTTAGTCAGATGACCAAAAATTCCAGTGACGGGGATCATTATATGACTAAAACTAATCACCGGAGACATGTGTCTTGTTTACTGACGAATCATGCCTAGTCGAACCTAATTATTTGATGTGTGTTAGCTGAAAGTAACATTACATATACTCGTGAAGAGGTATATATATATATATCTCAGTATATGTGCAGTTAGAATTTATTTTAATCCCAATGGGTCCACAATTGGGATTAAAAATTATTGTTTTTTGGCGAATAAGATAAATGCAACCTTAATAACACTCGAGTGTTGAGAGGCTTTAAACCCAATTAACCAACCAGTCAGTAAAAATATGTTTGATTTGCTTATAAATATCTTTAATATCCACGTGAATGCAAGTGACACTGACAGATGTCTACCTACAAGTATGTATGAGTTATATCATGCTCTTAGAAATAATATATTGTTATAATTAATAATAATAATAATAATAATAATAATAATAATAATAATAATAATAATAATAATAATAATATATTATTATTATTATTATTATTATTATTATTATTATTATTATTATTATTATTATTATTATTATTATTATTATTATTATTATTATTATTATTATTATTATTATTACAGCAGCAAGGCTGCTTAAACGAAGAGACTCTCTCTCTCATTGTACATACAATGAGTTTACTTAGATCCCTATTTTAGTTACCTTGAGGTTATTCCGGGGATCAACGCCCCCGCGGCCAGGTCCATGACCAGGCCTCCCGATGGATCAGGGCCTGATCAACTAGGCTGTTACTGCGCCGCACGCAGTCCAACGTACGAGCCACAGCCCCGGCTGATCCGGCACTGACTTTAGGTATCTGTCCAGCTCTCTCTTGAAGGCAGCCAGGGGTTTATTGGCAATTCCCCTAATGCTTGATGGGAGGCTGTTGAACAGTCTTGGGCCCCGGACACTTATGGTGTTTTCTCTTAGTGTACCAATGGCGCCCCTACTTTTTATTGGGGGCATTTTGCATCGCCTGCCCAGTCTTTACTTCGTAGGGAGTGATTTCTGTGTGCAGATTTGGGACTATTCCTTCCAGGATTTTCCAAGTGTATATTATGATATATCTCTCCCTCCTGCGTTCCAACGAGTACAAGTCAAG